GTAAGAATAAGTTATCTTACTACTTATTATTCATATGGGGGTCTACCCATTACAAATCACTTTTCATAATATTGTTATTAATATAGAAAAAATCTAAAACAAGTAATTTTCCTCATTTAAAAACCAGACATAGGATTTTGATTGTTATTCATTGATAAATTTAAACAGAGTTGGAAGCAGATTTATACAAATGGTCTCACTATACTATTAATAGTAAATTCAAATCATAGATCAAAAAACACCTCTATCACTGGATCATATGCTCTTCAAAGGCATAATATGCTCCATATTCTTAATATATCTATAAAAAGCAAACCAAATACTGCTATCATTAATATTTTATGTTCTTTTTTCTTTTATTTTTTAATTGAATCACAGTTACACGGCTACAACTTTGTTCATGATTTGGTTCCAGTCATACATTATTCCAACACCCATTCCTTCACCAGTGTACATTTCCCACTGCCAATGTTCCCAGTTTCCATCCCTACCCCCAATCCTAGCATCATAACCCCACCACCCTGAATGGAAACATAATGCATGTTTGTTTACTACAAAACTGAATAAACATTTTTATCACTGTGCATGTGTAAATCTAGAAATCTTTATCCTTTTAAGAATATTTAATCTTGTAGAACTGTTTAGAGAATGACAGCTATGTATACTTATATCCCTATTTAATATAATACTTGTCAATTTGATTTAATTTTATGTTTAAGTTTGTATAGCATACAGGACTTAAATAGTATCATGTAATTAATGCAACTTGATTGCTCTTCATGTGGCCAAGAGCAGAACAATTTAAGTAGTATTTGCATGCTGTAGCAATAGTAGAACAGTGTTACTTATCATTGTCATTGACTAAAAAGTAACTATTTATTGAATGCAACCTTATGTTAAACACCATGAGTATTGCTAAGGATACAGCAACAGATAAAGCAAAATTAGACATGTATGAAAATTACATAGCATTTATTTTCCAATTGTGCAATCTCATAACCATAGAAACATCATAAAATTATAGAGTGAAATGATTCTTAGAATGGAGAATATGATCCATCTATTTATACAATATGTCATGGGTGTCACTGTCCTCCCGTTGTTCATCGATTTGCTCGAGCGGGCCCAGTAATGTCTCCATCGTGAGACTTGTTGTTACTGTGTTTGGCATGTTGAATATGTCACGGATAGCTTTCCAGGCATTGACGTGCAGGGGAGATACTCTCGGTAGCTTGCGGAGCTCTCCGAGAGGGGCGGAGGAATCAAACCCTGTTTGGCTGAGTCAGCTGCGCGCAAGGCAAACGCCCCACCGCTGTGCTATCGATAGCAAGCTACCTGTGACGTATTCAACATGCCAAACACAGTAACATCAAGTCTCAAAAAATGGAGACGTTACTGCTCGAGCAAATCGATGAACCACGGGAGGACAGTGTATTGTGTTGTCATGGGTTCTAGTAAATGAACTGTTAGGTAAACTGAATTCTTCAATATAAATCTGATGGTGAAAAATTGGAGTTCTTTTAAGTCATTTAACTTACGGCAGAACCCCCAGACTAATATCTCTCAGACCTGAACAAGCTTATTGGACAAAAAAAAAAAAAAACTATTTCAAGTTTTGAGATAGATCAAGAAGTTTGGACCAACTAGCCTAATTATGTAGCTTTCAAAGAATACTACCAACATTTGATTCACATGCAAATAGAGGAATCATCAGGATACTTACTTCTGGATGCTGCCTGTGTGAAAGTAATCATCGGAATCAAGGCAGCATTGAAATAAATATTTATACTGAGAAATAAAATGACAAGGACTAATCATGAGTCAGGTATACTTGAAGTAAGTTTGTAGATTGATTTCTGATAATGCGAAGAAAAACACAGCAGGAAAAATATACAAGTTTGGGGGCCTGAGAAATAATATAGAATATAATGCACTTGCTTTATGTTTGGCTGACATGAGGTTTGATCACTGTTACATGATATGGTACTCCAAGCTTGCCAGGAGTGATCCCTGGGCACAGAACCAAGGCAGGTGCCTTGCACACAGTCGACCTGGGTTCCTTCCCTGGCATTGCATATGGCCTCCTGAGGTGTAATCACTGAGCATAGCCAAGTGTGAGCCCTAAAGCAAATTATATATTTGATGAGGCTTATCCAGCAAAATAATAACTTCTTACAATGACTGGCTATAACCTCATACATGTAAATTGATTTTCTAATTGTTTCAGATATTTTAAATGAATAGCATCTATCTCTTATTATCATTGTTCTAACTCAGTATTATCTTTTCAACCCTTCTTTTTTCAAAGTTTTAATTATGTTTTTTATTAGTGAAACACCATAAGATTCAGTTGTAGACTTACAAACTTTTGTGCTAGGGTTTCAGTTACACAATGATCGAGTACCCAATCCTCTATCAGTGCCAATGATTCTTCACCACCAATGATCCCAGTAGCCATACCACCCTCACCCCATACCCTCCACCCCACTCCGCCTCTCTGGTAGAAAATTGCTTTTTGCTCACTCTTTCCATTAGGGTGTTGTAGTTTGCAATAGAGGTATTGAGTGACCATCGTGTTCGGTCCATAGACTACTTTCAGCACGAATCTCACATCCTGACCGAGTCCTCCAAACATCCTTTACTTGGTATTCCCTTTTCTATCTGAGCTGCCTTTTCCCCCAGCATGTGTTGCTGGCTTCCAAGCCATGGAGTAGACCTCCTGGTACTTAACTATTCTTGACTTCAACACTTCTTAAAAGAGTTAGGAAACCATAAAACAAGACAAAACTCTAACAGGATAACAATACAAAATAAATAAATTATTAATGAAAATTGTATAGAAAGGAGATTAATTTATATGACTCATACATTAAAATGAAAAACAGAATTTCATGATATGTTGGCATACTATGAAAATAATAACCAGATCAGTGCATAAAAAAATAATGGGCTAATCATACCTCAGTTTAAGGCTCATAAAATAGTCTTCATTGAAAAATTTGACTTCATTTTGTTTGCTACTGTATATTTGACAGTAAGTTTTAACTTAAAATTTGTTTTCAACTAAGAGTAACTTTTGGAAAAGTTTTTATATGAAACTCATAAGTTTTGTAACTTGGTTTGTTTACCGCAGCATTTTACATCATTTTGCAAAAATGCCCTATAACTCAGGTTTATAAGCTAAATTTCTACTAAGTTCTGTTTATATCTTAGGCATATACTTGAAATATATTAGGCAATTTGAAAACATCTTGATCTTGGAATTCAATAACTTGTACATTTCTTCATTGTGGTGACAGCTTCTAAGTGATGTTCTCACTGCATTTATTGTATTATTATGTGGGATACAAAAGTAAGATTGTGTAAGAAACTACAGTACATACACACAATGGAACACTACTCAGGTACAAGATTAGATAATGCTATGTAATTTCCTGCAAAGTGGATGGATCCTGAGAATATCATGTAGAGTAAAATTAGTCAGAATGGGTAAAACAGACTAAGAATGATCTCTCTCGTATGTCGATATAAAAAGCTTCCTAGGGCAACATCAAATGTCAATAGCAATAGAAACAAAGAACAAGATAACTAGTATTCAGTAGGAAGTTTGCCACTGGGCTGGGGATCCGGGAAAAAGTTAGGGAACGGAACACTAAGAAAATAGTGGTGGGGAAATGTGCCTGCTGCAACAGTGAAACTGGAGAGAGTGGTGAAGGGTTTAGAACACTGATCAAGTGTTTGGTATTGGTAAAATGTACACCTGTAACTCAAACATAAATATCTTTGTAACTTTGTAATTCAGTATGATTCAATTTTAAAAAAGTAAGATACTGACTTTTAAATGTATTTTTTTATTTTTTATTTTATTAAAGCACAGTGATTTGCAAAGGTAATCACAGTGAATTTTAGGCACATAATGTTACAGTACTGATCTTACCACCAGTATCAACTTCTCTTCACCAACGCTCACAGGTTCTCTCCCCTATGGCCCAAACCATCTTAATATGCACCTTTTTAAAGTTCAGTTACTAAAGAAGATGGTAACTTTAACTCAACATTTTATAGATTAAAATTTGTAGTTGTAATTCATGAACTGCTCACACGAGGGCATAGTAGAAATGGAATGGATTAGCTTTATGCTATTTATATTTAGTCTCAGCTTCTCTGTTACAAATAACTACATGAAGAAAGAGCCCAGTTTGAAAAGTGGCAACTTTTATTAGTACACCCATTCTAAGATTTCTAGTTATATGGCCCCATTTGAAAAATATTACTGAAAAAATTCTACTTGATTGAGAGAAGGGAGACTGGTATTCATGGGCTCCCAATGCCATAGAAATATGATGAAAATCGGGTTGTCTTTTATTTGCTTTTTTCTTTCACTTTGAAGGTTTTGTTAAATTTTTTTGGTACCACACCAATCAGTGCTGAGGGCTTACATCTGGTTCCATGTTCAGGAATAATTTGTGACAGGGCTCAGGTTTCCATATGGGATGCTAGAATTGAACCTGTTTTGAACATGTAAGGCAAATGCACTACCCACTGCACTATCCTTCTGGCTCTAAACGTCAGGTCTTAGTTTACATCTCATGTATATTTATCCTTCACTTCTAAGTGCGAGGCAGAGTTACTTCACATGCTATACAATCTTAGTTCTGTAAGTCACTATCACAGGTCTAAGTAGCATGTATTTATAATAGGAATAAAGTAATTACAGCATTAAAGTCTGGAATAATTTTATGTCTCACCAACAGATAAATTGTATTCAAACTTCTGGCTTAAAATGGAATAAAAATTAGAAACTGATCTATTATGATTTGAATCTTTGCTATAGCAAACTTCAAAAATTCAGTGGTAAGGAAAATACAGTTCTTAGTAATAACTTAAAAAGTTTTATAAAATTATATCTCTTTCGTTGTTAAATATTTTAGAGTGCAAATGCTGCAAGTGATGCTATATCCTAAAGGGGGTAATTTTAAACTTTATCTTTGTTTTAACAGCTTGAAGTCTGGCAGGCTTCCCAAACATTCTCTTGGAATGTCACAGGACAATGCATATCTTCTGCCTCATTCAGTCCCAAATCTCTTGTCACCGGACCTTACCACTCAAACAGGTAATAAAATCCTTCTGATAAAAAAAAATTGTCTCTTTATACTTACCGGCATTGGAAACAAATTAATATTGCTTTCTTTCATCCTTCAGAGCTTTCCAAGCTCCACCAGAGGTTAAATTATTGAAGTTTTGGAGTATGCTCAAAAGTAATTTTGTTTTTCCGATGACACAAATAAAATAGACATGAATCTTATTAAAAAGTTTCATTTTCCTACAGGAAAAACCACTCAAAGAACTATTTACCTATGTGTTTGTGTGTTGTGTATTTACCTCTATGTCTTTTTGTGTTGGAAGTAAGAATGGGAATAACTGCCACAACTAAAATGATCTCAAAACCTCCTATAGGATGCAGCATGCCTGATTACTAATATCTTTCAATAATCAGTTGTTTTCACTGAAATCTGTATATATTGTCAAAGTTACTATTCTAGATTAAATGTTAAAATAAATGCATATCTTCTAGAGAAGTTTTATGATTCAAAAGAAATAAAATGGAATTGCAATCTTGTTTTTGCTTTTGTGTTTTGGGCCATACCAACCTGTGCTCAGGGCTTACTCCTTACTCTTCACTCATGGATCACTCCTGAGCATACTCATGGGAGAACATGTGGTACTGGGGATCAAACCCAGGTCGGTCACATGCAAACAAGTCCCCTATCCACTTTACTATTGTCACTACCTCTGCCATTGCAATCTTAATCCACAATTGAGTGTTTTTCATTGAACACTGTAATAAACAGTGCTTTCCCCAAAATTTCATAAATTAACATTGAACTTGTTTTATTCTTTCAGCATTGACTTCAAAGAATACACTTTAAAAGTTACTTTCATTTTGTTTGAAGTTTAGGTTAAAATAGTATGATCTTTATTTCTAAATATAAAAATTAAAACAGAACTATTATATTGTTCATATATCTCACTTATTGGTATCTACCCAAAGAAAATGTTAATTCAAAATGCATATGCAGTCCTATGTTAATTGCAAAATTGTTTGCAATGATAAAAGTATGGTAATATTGTAAACCACTGATTATCAATATAAATTTTAAAAGTATTTCATATCAGTAAATTCTTTGCATTACAGGAAATGAATTTAATATAATTGAGTTAAGTCTATTATTTCTTTGAACCTTTAGAAATTAGCAGAGAACCCTAATCCTGCTTACCTTGCCTTTGCATGTCAGGGTATATAATTTCCAGGAACATCTTCCACTGGCTGGCAAGAATTTGGGGAAGATTAAAGACTTGTCAGAATGAAGATTTGACTTTAGCCATTTGGATATCAGAGTTAGAACCTAAATGTTACTAGGCTAGACTTTGATTGTATGAGAATTGTGAAACAGAATATTGTCTTTCCTCAATACTTTCAGTAGAAATTAACAGAACTATGGAAACATAAGGAAATGTTAGTATGGAGCATAATGATTTTAATGTGTTTTGTTCTAAGATTTAGGTAGGAAAATGATAATCTAAGGAAAGCCTAAGTATAGACAATAGAAAACGTACTATGATAGAGTAGTGCTAGTCTGGCAATTTCATCTCTAACCAATGTAGTATTTAATCCTTGCACAAGATTTTCCTTTCAAAAATCCAATGACATTGTAGAAATTGATCATAAAAGAAAAAGATTTCTCAATGATGATGTATTGTTTCTAGTTAGTAGTTCATCAATCATTTTTGTTTGTAACTTGACCCAGTTCAAAAATTTTTAGTAATTGGAGCTTTCAATTTCAACCAAGATTATAGAACATCCACATGTAATATAATTAATGGCCTTTAAGAACTCACAGCAATTCTATGCTAACAATTATGGTATGTCTTTGAATTTTGTCTGATTTTATAGTTCCCAACGAAGGAGTAAATTTGAACTTGAAATAGGACCAACATGATGATAACTTTTAGAACTCTGGTTGAAATTTACACATTAAATTGATTGATATCCAAAGTCACACTTAGCACTTCTGTCAGAAAATGCTGAGTGGTTCTGGCTCTGTGTTAGAGCACATGTCTCTCATTTGTGTATATGAGAGAAAGAGAATAATAACTATTGCTCCAGGTAAAGAGAATAATATAGATTCAGATGCTGATGAAAAGAACACAATGTGTTAGAAGAAAGAACAATTAAGCTGAAAAGACTGGAGAGGAAATTTGATGTGAAAGATACAGAGATGATGGGGTTAGAATGGAAAAGGTAGGGAAATAGATCTAGTAAAAGGCTTTTACTTATCATATTTAGCAACAAATGACCAGGAATTGTTTATTCAGTAAGATCCATAGCATCTATTCTTGATAATATTCTATCATATTCATTTAGGTTTTATGTATGTGTATCACACTGTCACTGTCCTCCCATTGTTCATCGATTTGTTCGAGCAGGCCCAGTAACATCTCCATTTTGAGACTTGTTACTGTGTTTGGCATATTGAATACGTCACAGGTAGCTTGCCAGGCTTTGCCGTGTGGGCGAGATACTCCTGGTAGCTGTCCGGGCTCTCCGAGAGGGACGGAGGAATTGAATCCAGCTCGGCCGGGCTGGCTGAGCGGAAGGCCCTACAGCTGTGCTATCACTCCAGCCCATGTATGTGTATATGTGCACATATAGTACTCATAGATAAAGATATACATGCATTCATTTTTGGAAGATCTACACGCACTCATTTTTAGTATGTTTCTGGGGGGGGGGGGAGGAGCAGCCATGCTCAGTGTAGGATGACATTGCTTTGTCCTTTCTCCTTTCTCCAAAAGGAGCTTAGGTTTATCTGCTTACACCCATCACAATGCTCCTGAGGCACTTCCATTCCATTGTATTTATCTATAAACTCTTCCCTATGCTCTCCTCCCCAACCAGTTAATCAGCTGTCCCCTTAATCAGACTCTGTTAACTTGTAAGGTTAGATTCCTCAGAAATCTATGATTTTGTATGTATGAGTGAAATATTGCCTTTCTCCTCTCCTTATGCCTTATGAACAGTTTACTTTAAAGCAATGCCCTTTTTGTATAGATACAGGAAGACAGTTAACATTATGCTTTGTAACTTAGGATTTAATTGGCTTGTAATATTGTTCACTCCAGGGATCTGCTCCCTTGACATAAGGCTCAGTTGCCCTTAGTTCCTAACACCCCCAAAGCAGGGTCTCGACGAGGGACTGAATGGACCCAGGGCAAGTGGTGAGCTACCCTGGCATTGAAATGGGCCAGGCCAAGTGCCACGATTCTTAACTATAAGTTAAGAGTTTGATCATAGACAAATGCTGTCATGATCCAAAAGTAACGATGAGACTAGGATCCTGCTAGGGGTAGGAAAGACTATCTGGCTTGAGCACTGTAGTCTGAGATCGACATGGCCCTAGGAGGGCAATTCTATAAGTTTAAGGTATTTCTTACTGTATCCATACAAAATGATTTATATTATATATGCTTATATGTTTGTTAGACAAGGAGAGGAGAAACACACCCACCCAGGGGAATCTGCTCTAGTGTGAATTGATCTGATAATGAGAATCTGTCATAGGAGCGGATGTCCCCGAGGGAAAGAATTTTACCCCTATTGATTGTGAACCGCACCTATGTGTAATTGTAACCCCAAACCCTCATGCTTTGGTAACGAGACGGTAAGAGTGGGCTGAGATGATCAGAATTGAGACTCCATAGAAGGAGGATGAAGGGAGATGGAGAAGGAGCATGAAGTAGCATGGGGGAGGAAGAAGCAGAGGAGGCAGAGGAGAGAGACAGGAGTGGATGGAGAGAGGATTGGAATAAACTGCAACTAAAACCAACCAGCCTGGTCTTCGTTTCCTTCCTTTGCCTGCCCATTGCCATCGACCTCCCGGGGGTGGGGGAAGCAGGGTGAGACTATTGAACGCTGGCGGCGGGAAAGATAGACCGCTGCTGCTGCTGTGTGTGCCTCTTTCGAGTTTACACAGCTCAGGACTACTTGTGGCTCTCTGTTCAGGGACCATTCCCGGAAATGCTCTGAGGACCATATGAGGTGCTGGAGACTGAGCTCGGGTATACTGCGTGCAAGACAAGCACCATACAAACTGTAGTAGCCCTTAGGTACCCAATTCTTTTCATTTAATGTATATTTATTGAGCATTTACTCAAAACCAGAAAATGAGAAAACATGGTAGTATATAAAAATAAAACCAATTTGTTAGTTTTTGTAAATTCCATCCAATTTTTATTTTACTTGTTGGAAAACAAACTTTTACTGAATTTTACCTTCATACATTGAACTACTGACAATATATTTGCAACTCATGTTTCTATGTCAATTCCTGTTTATAACAATACATCTAAGTTATCTTCTAGCATATTGATGCATAACAATCCCACTTTCTCTGATATCTTCTGGACTATAGAAGGAAAACAGAGAAAGTATTTTCCCTATCTTTTGCTACAGCTCTGAAGAATTGCTAATTAATTCCTGGATCACAGTGAGGATATGTATTCCTGTATTTCAGTTTCCCCCCAAAACTGAGTGCTGTCCCACTTTTCTCATTCAATAAAACATTTCAAAAAGACAGGAATAGAAGACGCAATCTTATACATTAGCAAGAAATTACAAAATATCTCCAACTGCCTTTCTGTATTACTATTTCGCAAGTAGTTCTATTGTAACAAAATACTTTGAAGAATTTCATTTTCAGTCTAAATGTCTTGTAACTGAATTATTGAGCAGTCAATTCTATAACACTCAATTCATGATTATGTGATGCAAAGACAAAGTCTTGGCATTATGAGGTCAATTCTAATATGACACAATATTAATTAACCTCATTAGAATCAATAGATTGTAACATTAGAATCACTATTCCTGCCTTTTCATGATGTATTTGATTATAGGTCATTTTTAAGGGCAAAAGAGAGATGAATCTAGAAAAAAAGCCATTTCGTTTCTTACATAAAACATTTGTTTTAATTATCATATTTTACAGTAAGGAATATTATATAACATGATTTATATCACACAAATGATACTGATGTCTTTTTAAAAATTTT